GTTGGAGTAAGTTCGCTTATTACCTGGGTTGTACAGAGAAGGGCATCATAGTTGTAGAGAGCTAAATCAGACTACAGTAGTCATAAATGTCCAAGAGTTGTGCTTCGTGCTAGAATAAATGAAGGATGACAAACATTTGATGTGTAAATAGACTGGGAATGTATTGCACTGACCAACACCAGCAGCAAACTATCAGCGCGGAAGCTGAGATAGTGACTGAGCACCCCAAATCGGGGACCTAAAATATCACAAAGAACTGTAGATGCTGGAAATCTGACAAAAACAGGGCAGAAATTGCTGGAGAAACTCAGCAGGTCTGGCAGCATCTGTGGAGAGAGAAAAACAGAGTTCACGTTTCGGATCCAATGACACTTCTTCACAACCGAAAACCTTACCTCTGCTTTCTCTCCACGGAGGCTTCCAAACCTGCTGAGTTTCTCCAGCAGTTACTTTGGGGTTTTTTTTGTGCCAAATCAGGGACTGCATTGGAAAAGTTTTATGTTTTTTAAAAAAAGTAAAGAAATGGACAAATACAAGAAAATGTGCAAATCTTAAGGAACTGGTTTTGCCTGTTGCTATTTACCACAAAAACCAGAAAGTACGAAAGTACTGCTCAGTGCTGACAGGAAATGAAAATCCTCATGCTGCTGTCACTATTCTTTCTCAAATACCCGAAAATACAGTGCCTTTGCAGGTAACCTTCAAACCCAGTACAATCCACAAAGCAAGGAAGTGCTACAGTACATTTATTTCTCATCTGACGTCTCCAGACTTGGCAGCGGTGATCATCCTGACTTCAGTTTAACTGCTTGCTTCATTACAGACTGTGGCAACCAATGATTGCCTGAGCCGCTATGCTACAAGGTGACAGCTGGTATCAACTGCAAGAGTGAAACCAGACACCTTCTACTGCTGCAGCACCACTGCACTCATTAATCGTCGGTGCAAATGTTGTTGTGCATCCAGGGCATGCTGCACATCAGCAGTCAGACCTCTGTACTTGCAGCCTCGGCTGAAACAGACGCCAAACAGAAAGCAATGAATTAAACAAGCAAAGCTATCTGGTTTAATAAGGGTACGTTGATAGGATGAGGTGTGGTGTGGGACGAGGCCCATGCGGAGTTTAAGCAACAACATATAACAGTTGGGCCCAAATGGCCTGTTACTGTTTAATAGCAGGACAGCAGGAAATTGTGCAATCAATTTTGTTGCGTCTCGAAACATTTAAGGCTCCTCAGTTTTGCTCTTGCAACTTTAGAATTGCTGGGCGGCCGCGACGTTGTGCAGTTTGGGAGGAATCGGGTCTAAAATGCAAACACAAAATACCAGAAATATTCAGTGAATCAGGCAGCATCTGTGGGGCGAGAGAGGGGGAGAAACAGGGTTAGTCCCTTAGGTGGGTGATGACTTTTTCAGTACCTTTCCTCAGATGCTCAAACTTGGGGAGGTGGGGGAGACATAGTTTGAAAATATGGAATCTACCATTTAAGATGGAGATGAGGAGGAAATCTCTTTTGGCAGACAGTTGATAGTCATTGAAATTTTGTTCTCCAGTGTGTGTGCAACGGAGGCTGGTTCAGTCAATATGTTTTGAGTTGGACTGAATTTTGATTGCCTGGAATTGTCTAGACATTCAGGTCAAATTCAGATCAGCCAAGATCGAAGGTCTGTTGACCTAACCCTGCTTCCATTTCTTTTATGTCGTTAGGAAACAACGTTTTTTGAGCGACATTATGAGAGCAGTTTGAAGTGTGGCATTTGAGGAGCACAACATTCTTAGTTCGAACAGGTGCATGTGGTTTGGGTTCTGCCAGAGCCTGAAGGTTATCATTGCCTCATGTCTGGGTCTGTTGACAACTGATTGAAGGAGATAAATTGACTGATCGGTCACAGCCCTTTTATTGCTGTGTTATATAAGAGCCCCTGCAGAGGGCTGTCAAGACTGGACCTCTGAGTGTTTTCAAGACTGAGAGGTACAGATTTTTAACCAGTAATGGAGTCCAACGTTATGGGGGAAAGGCAGGAAAGTGGAGTTGAGGATTACCAGATCAGCCACGATCTCATTGAATGGTGGAGCAGTCTTGATGGGCTCAATGGCCTGCTTCTGCTTGTACATTTTATGCACCAGAATGGCGTTCGTGTGGCCTAATAGAAAAGGCTTCTGGCCAAGATGATAGAAGGAAACAGTGTGGCCTTTTTCTGCCTGGCGAAATTTCTGCATCCACGCTCCTAGTTCCCAGCTACAACTTTGCTTCTTGGTATGGTGAATTATAGTGTTATAATCGAACAAAGGTGAGAAAATGTGATGCTAGTAGCCAGTTCCTGATTCCTGAGGCTAGGTTGCAGCTTTATAATACATTACAGATGTCACAAAATCCAAGCGCAGCTACTATGCAATAAATCTTACCAATATAATTTTCGAATATTGAGCAACATAAGCACCTTTTATGTGACCATCATTAGGCATCAAGAAGACGGACACCCGTGACAAATGCTGCAGGCTCGGGGCTTTTATTTCTCAAAATATTCTACAGCATTTTTAAAAAAAATCCCATTAGCAAAAGTGTAAAGTAGTAGCTGACAGAGAAGCTATTTTAAATTAAAGTCTGTTTTCGAGTGCTTGGACTAAGATCCTATGGGTCTTCCTTTTAACAAAATATGGCCTCTCATAAATTGCTGTCCAATAAATCATTCCAGTATTGCTTTCTTACACTGGAAATTGTCCTTGTTGAAACTTGCATGATTTTGTTCTAGGTTCTTGCACTTTTCTGTACGTCGTGTTTTCAAAAGTTGATTGTTTCTTTCCCTTTTAAAAAGACAGTCGTCAACAACCCTCCTTAATTTCAACTGTTTACCAGGGTTCCGTGTCCTCTGTAACCAAGCCACAGTATTACATATAGCAATGCTGAATTAGTCGATGAATGAGCCTCAAAATGAAATGCACTGCAGATATCCCATGGGGAATTTATTCTGCCTGCTGCACTTGGTGCAGTGGGAGCTTTATAGCTGATTGGGAGATGAGATGGGGGAAAATTCTCTAATTGCTTTTGCATGCAGTGTGTTTTATGGTGGTGTCTGTATTGCAACATTCCAGCTTTCTATCTTAATTGGAGAGAAATCTATAATTAGGCTGATGCTGTGGGACAGGTTTTTTTTCAGGCAATATTTTGTTGTCGTCTCTCTGTATCTTGAGCTTCGCTCGGTCATGTGTGTGTCGCCAATGTCTGACTTTACAGATTTGAGATCAGATCCAGTGAGAAGCATGACATTTTAGCCCTTGATTACACTCCCGTGAAAGGAAAGCTCTTTCTGCCAATATCTGACTTTGCATTTCCCAGCCTATTCTCAGGTATCCTGCCTATTTTGAGCAAATCCTTTTTTAGCGTGTGATCTGCTTGTACTTGGTGTTTAACTCACTGAAACAGCCTTTAATTTTCTTGCCTCGTCTCTTTTAACATTTGTACGGTTTCAGTCGAGAAATCTATTTCTTTTCAATTTCAAGCTCCCGGTGTTGGCTCCTCTTCCCACCAGTAAGCTTCTATCCTCACTCCTCTCTGTTAATGTAGAGATAAGTGGAACATTCTGCCATTTAGTGGAAATTAACTTGGCTTTGAAGAAAAGCAGTTGAAGAGATTGAAATGTTTTATAGATTCTGGTTTGGTGCCTAGACAGAGTGCAGATGGAAATAACCCAAAATGGGTCTTAAATAGACACATGTGGTGGGATGTGGGGATGGGCACCTCTCAAATTAGACTTTATTTTCTTTCCAATGACTCTTTTCTTGCCAGTTTCAAAGGAACGGCTTTCAAAATGTTGCTGTTGAAATCTTGGCTCCCAGTAGCATGATGGTTTAACAATGTGCAGAGTCCAAGTTGCATTTGTTAATTGCCCCATTTTTAATGTTAGCCAGGGCTGCCTGGAGAAAGTGTTCATTGCACAAAGGATTCCATGGGGAAGGAGGCACATTTAAATATGAGGAGAACGGTTGTTTGACTCTCCGTTCGAGTGTCCAGATGGCGTACAGCAGAGTTCTTGGGGCAGCGATCAGTAGGGTTCGATGCAAGGAGGGACTGTAACTAAATCTAAGGTTCAGCAAAATCCCAGCTGTGAGCAGTTGTCCCTGCCCTGTCCCTGAACCTGAAACTTGTGCTTCTCTAATGCAAGAGGGAAGAAGTTAATCGTTGTCTTTACTTTGTACTATTGTATGTTTGACTCCAGTTTAATAAGAGCTATGACTTTATTCCTGACTTAAGCGAAAACAAAGCAAAATCCAAAATCACGCATCTCAATTGCAGAAAATTTGTTGAATTGCTGAATCCCTGTCAGCCAACATAGATTTAGCGCAAGAAAGAAAGAAATTGGATTAATAGCACTCGTACATGCCACAGTCTGCCATCTCATAACATCAAGTTCACCTTTCAGTACGTGTTTGCCACCGTATGCTTTATTGGTATCATTTAGATGCAACAAGAAAGGACAAAATGCAAACGTATTTTGTTAAAAGAAAGAAACTGGCCACGCCTAGAAAGGGTGATGTTAAAGGACATTCCAGCCACTGTTTCTATTTAATGGTCTCTGCTATAAATAGGTAAAGAGAGTTGTGAATGTACACTTTCTTTTCTGAATGACTGACTGACTGATCCTGGCAGTGGGCCAGAGTGAGCTGACTGCTCAGCTGCAGCAGAGACCAGGAAGGATCCATTACTTTGTGCTTTATGCAAGTGAACGCTGCACAGGTTTCATGTTCATTTTTGGCAGTACCTGCTCTGTTTTGTGCTAAATTTGGTGAAAGCTCCAGGTCTCTATGTTGAATCCCCCATTGGTTGTATGCAGATAAGCTGAGGCAGGTTATTAGCACCTGTGTTTCGGCTTTCTTGCAATTGTGCCAACCGTGTCTTGAATTGATCATTACAAATGGTCTGATGTTTAAATTTTTAAAAATTCTTGTGCAATGTAATATTGCATTGGGATTTATGTAATCTGTTCTCCCTATCCTACAGGTTTTCAATCATACTTGTATGTGAAGCAATGTAAAATCCTGAATGGTGGAGATCATTTGGTAAGTGACAGACAGCCTGCTGTTGTGTTGCTGTATGACTGTGAATATTGATGTGACGGTTATACAGTTTTATTTTTCCCTAGTGTATAATGCGACTGCATTTCTTTTCATTGTCTTTTTTTGCCCTCTGCATATCCAGAGTAAGGGATGTTAATTTTGGTGAATGGAACAGATCTGTTGTTTCGGGCCCCTCAGTGAGCTCCTATGGAGTAGTCTTGGGTCTGGTGGAGCTATAGGATAGATCGCCTGTCCTCTTCCCCACCCCGAGCTAATGTGCTGGTCACCGTCTCAGGAGGGAACCTCCCACTTGCAGCAGTCTGTGATTTGGCACAGTATATCCTTCCAGCCTCTACAGATTGGAGATCTGGCTGAAGGGCTGGACACAGGCATGGCCGTAGTGCCATAGGGTCTTTGGAGCATTGGAGGAGTGACTGAGCTTGATTTAACACCTCATACAAAAGATGGCACCTCCAACAATGCAGCACTCACTCAGTGCTGGACCTAAATGTCAGCCTCGATTATATCGATGTTGGATCTATCACTATCTTTGTCAGCTGCCACTGATTTGTATTGGGCTTTTAATTTTACAGTGGAGTCCAGCATTGGTAATTACAATGGAATCCAGTGTTAGTCATGATCAGCATCATGGTATGCGCTAAATCTGAAAATGTAGGTCTGATGTGTTTGTGCCAGTGTATTTGTTTTGAATCAGCGTGATTGAAGCTGTGGTGATTTGGTGACACACAAGCCTCAATTTGTAGAACAGTCTTCATTGGGTGATACAGCTTCCCTCTGAACATTCTGCACTTTCTCCCCATGAAAAGTGGTCGGCAGATTTTGTGTAAAGACATAGGGACCAGAAGAACTGGGAACGTGAGTAAGTGATTCAGCCTGCTCTACCATTTAATACAAACATGGCTGATCTCATCTTGGCCTCGACTCCACTTTCCTGTCCGCTCTCCATAACCCTTCAACCCATTAATAATTTAAAATCTGTCTGTTTCCTCCTTAAACTTACTCAATGTCCCAGCCTCAATTGCGTTCTGGGGAAATGAATTCCACAGATTCACAATCCTTTGAGAGAGGTCATTCCTCCTCGTTTCTGTTGTAAATCTGCCACACCTTAGCCTAAAATGGGAAACTGTGACCGTTGGTAACCTTTTAACAATAAAGCTAATTTTTAAATTGTGTCAATTTGATGATCGTCATGAAATGTAAATTTTGCCAAGTTCCTGAAACTTGATACTGTGTTCGGAGCAAGAGTCCTGAACCCAAGGTATTTTGGTTGAAGTGAAAAGTGTAACTTGTTGCCTATATTGCCAGAGTCAGTAATCACATTTTCAAATCAACAGGACAACTAATTAAGTCTTCACTTAGTAACTCTCTGTCCTCCGAGTCAGAAATTTGTGGGATCCCAACTCAATTCACTGCAATGTCAGAAGCATGTTGTCTACAACACACAGTCTCCCTGGATCAAATGTTTTTGTGGTTCTCTTCTTCTGTTCACCTCAACTACCATCAACCAAATAGATTGATTAATTAGTATTCATCGCCAAAAAGAACAACATACCCGAGGATTAGGAGGTGTGTAGAAATCAGTAAAAGAGGACCAATACATTGATAGAGAAAACGAAGTGACAGGTCAAAGGTACAACAACAGATAGTAAATCCTTCAATCGATGTGAAAAGAAGAATGTGTTTGGCAAAAATTAATGTGGTTCCCTTGGAAATAGAGGGCAGGAGAAATTATAATGAGGAATAAGGGAATAACACACAGAAAACGGTATCTGTTTTCAAAGTAGAAGTCAGAAAAATCATTTCAAAGATCATGGGAAAACCAAAGGTCTGGTGAAGCCAATTATTTGTCAAGAAATGTTGTACTGTACAAGTGAATGTGACGAAGCTGACAAATCCAATGATAATGCACCTGTGCCCAGAGCTCTAGGGTTTAAAAGAGGTGATTATAGAGAAAGTAGATATGTTGGCTTTGATCTTCTAGAGTTGTTTGGATTTTAGAATGGTCTCCCACAATTGGAAGTTAACAAATGCAAATCCGCTTCTTAAGAAAGGAGGGAGAGAGAAAACTGGGAATAACAAGTCATTTAGCCAGACATCAATGGTAGGGAAAATGTTGGAATCTATTTATTAGGGATACAGTAATAGGGCATGGTGGATTGAGCAAAGTCAACAGTGATTTATGAAAGGGGGTTGATGGAAAAAATGTTGGGGGGATGTTTCCACAGCATAGAGAGTCTACAAATAGGGGAACATGGTGTCAGAATTAGAGAGCTGCTCATTTCATTGTCATCATAGAATCCCTACAGTGTGCAAGCAGGCCATTTGGCCCAACAAGTCTACACTGACACTCTGAAGGGCATCACACTTAGACCCATTCCCCACCCAATATTTCCCATGGCTAACACATCTAATCTACACATCCCTGGACATTGTGGGCAATTTAGCATGGCCAATCCGCCTAACTTGTGCATCTTTGGACTGTGGGAGGAAACCGGAGCACCCGGAGGAAACCCACGCAGACATGGGGAGAATGTGCAAACTCCACACAGACAGTTGCCGGAGGGTGGAATCAAACCCAGGTCCCTTGTGCTGTGAGGCAGCAGTGCTAACCACAGAGCCACCGTGCATTTAGTGCAGAGGAGAATTTTGGGAAGGTTGTGAATTTTTGAAATTGTCTCGACCAAAGGGATGTGGATATTCCATTGTCAAATATCATTAAGACAGAGAATGATAAGGCACCGAGGCGTGTATAGAGTTTTGATCTATGAGGAAGTGGAGAGTAGTGGGGTCAGTAAGATGGTGGGGGAATGAGCTGGTGGGGGGTATCTGGTGCAATTTCTTACGTTCCTACAATATAACATCTCTCAATTTGCAACAACACATTCAATTCCTGAAGCTACAACATCCTCCAATAAAATTAAATTGATTATCGGCAACCTAACTATCGCATGTTTATCTACAGCTTCTCCAGCACTCTCACTTAGTGGGAAAGACCAAACCTAAGTCATTCACCAGTGCATTCATTCAGTAAAACTACTAACTATTCATTTGCAACTTTGGCGAAATAATCCATAGCTTAAGCACAGCTGCCTTTCAGGATGTTGACTGGGGTTCAATTCCTGACCATCTGAGTTCAAGTGCCCATAATATGGACTATATAATGACAGTGTCCCAAATATCTGGGTTCAGGTCCTACCTGCACCAGAAATGTGCCATTACATTTTCAAATGGGTTGATTTGAAATGTGCCTTAATCTCTCTCTCTCCCTATCCATCAAACACACACTGCTGTGGGTCTGGAGTCAGCTGTAGGCCAGGCCAGGTAAGGATAGTTAAAGGACTCTACTGAATCAGATGGTTGTTTACAACAACTGTTGCCATTTCCATTCCAGATTTTATTGAATTCTGGATTTGTCATCCGCCATTGTGGGATTTAATCCCATATTCCCAGAGCCTGCATTACTAGTCCAGTACATTACCACTACTCCACCACCTTCCTCCCTTCACTAGTTATCTGTCTCATGTAAGAGAGTGTCATGAGGTTCTGTTTATTCAACTGGTTGACTTGACTTGGCACAAAAAACTTGGCACTGCATCACTCGTTTGTAGTGTGATCGGATCCACTTTGTTAGAGGTTGTATCATACCTTTTCCGTGCCTATAATGGCCAATTCTGTCCAATAAAATGTGGATTGCCGTCATTTGTTCTCTGAAAGGGGAAGCCATTGCTTCCTGCTTAGCAAGTGTGATTGGTTTGGACGTACTTAAACATAAATAGTAAAACAGACAATATCTCTCTGGAAACATACAACCAAGCTGAACGAAGAGAGTTAATTTGGTCCTGTTGATTTTGCCAAATATTTGATGCATGCATGAAATGGAAAATCCAATTTCTATTTTACATTTAAAATTTGTACTAAATGATGACTTTTGTGTCTCTCTTTTTTGTTCAGTATTGAGGCCATTTATAAATGCTGGTTTGAGTCCATTTCTCTTTTGCTTAGGGAATTGAATTGGCAATTTGCTACAAACTGGCAGATATCTGTAAGTAACTTGGCAGGATATTCGATCTCGGTATTTAATATTGCTTTCCCTGCCAGTTGCATGGGGATAATTTTTTAAAGAGTAGATTTGTGTGTTTATTTTTTGAATTGGAACTTAGGCTGAATCTTTACATTTTCCCACCCAAAAAATAGTCTGCACTGGACATTATTAAAATTTGAGTTATTACTCGTTCAGTCAGGAAAAAAGGATTTTGAAACATTGATTGGAAGTCAGCCATCAAAAAGACCACGTAAATAATCTTGCATGAGAAAATCAGATTAAAGGAACTGAATGTTTCTTCATTAGAGAGAGGATTGAGAAGCAGGATTCTGATATCATCTGGTCATCTACTTCAATAGGCAACATTGATTCAAACTCAACAGATATTAAGAGAGTAGTAAAATATGTTCCTTTTTGCAGAGAAGAGGATGTTTGCTGAATATGTGTATGTTGGTGACTAGGTTGAAGGTTACAGAGATATTAATACATATGGAGTAGGCTTGCTCCTGTACCAGGAGAATCACGGATTAGATTATTCAAGCTGCTGTGGTCTGAATAAAGAGACAACAAGGTGCAGGGCTGGATGAACACAGCAGGCCAAGCAGCATCATAGGAGCAGAGAGGCTGACGTTTCGGGCCTAGACCCTTCATCAGAAAACGGGGAGGGGAAGGGGGTTCTGAAATAAATAGGGAGAGAGTGGGAGGCGGATAGAAGATGGATAGAGGAGAGGATAGGTGGAGAGGAAACAAACAGGTCGAAGAGGCGGGGATGGGGCCAGTAAAGGTGAGTGTAGGTGGGGAGTTAGGAAGGGGATAGGTCAGTCCAGGGAGGACGGACAGGTCAAGGGGGCGGGATGAGGTTGGTCGGTAGGAGATGGAGGTGCGGCTTGAGGTGGGAGGAGGGGATAGGTGGGAGGAAGAACAGGTTAGGGAGGCAGGG